TGGGCGCATGCGCAGTTTGGATTCTTGGCTGGGAGACGAGGAGAGACACAAGGTAAGTATATGGACGTGAGCACTCGCATGCAGACACCGTGGGACAGGAAGTGCCAGCAAGGACAGAGGAGTCAGAGCTGGATCGGAGAGCCGCCGCATCGCTGGAGGGACAGGTGAAAATGACAGGAAAGAAGAAGATTGGATTAGGAAACATCATTTAAGGTAAGTGCTTTAATTAACATGCATGTTCTTTTATTTTCACTTTCTACCTGACTCTATAATTGGTATGCATATTACTACTACTTCATGACTGGAAACGTTGTGTCTGCATTAAAAGAATTGTGGTTGGTGTATTACCTTAATATTTTACTAAATTGTTATATCACATGGGGAGGTTGTTGGGCTCCTGGATATGGGTATAGCACCCACATGCTCTTATATGCTTACATTTGCTGTATATATCTTTTGTGAAATGTTATCTAGCTACATGTATTTTAGTATGATCAGCAACCCTAGAACCAGCTATTAAAAGTCTGCTTTGATAGCCGTGACTTACAGTTTTAAACTGAACTTTCTGATTCCTCTTGAGAGATTGTCCTTTATATATATATATATATTGATGGGGAATCAAGGAGGCTCAAGTCATGGTCGGCAGTAAAGGCCTAACATAGGATTAAACCTTGCTTTGTTTTACCCCAAATTGTCAATTTTAGGCACATAAATATATATGATTAGCAATGATCAGGCCAGTTGTTAATCCTGATAATTAAGCTATCATTGATGAGGTTTAACAAGGAATTTTATATGCTCACCATGAGGATATAATGCTTCACTAGGACTTTATTCTGGATCGACAGTATCAGAATTAGAAAGGGTCAAGTTTCACTGACTGCACAGTATCTTTTCACATCTTTACTATAGTGTGGTACAGAGTATATTGGTTCATATTCATATTCATTGATAAAAATACTCAGCATTTTTTAAATGGCTGCTGTGCTGAGCAAGGGGAAGCCGCTCCGCACAGCACCATTACATGACCCAGAAGATCGCTGTAAGTCACTTCAGTAGCTCCAGCAAGAAGACTCTTGGGCTGCTTAGGTATGCATACTCCATTTCTATTTTAGGCCATTGTAAGTTTGCATAAAAAGTTGTTAAGCTATAAACATAATTAAAATATACTGTAATCTTTATAAGGATCTTAAAATACAGACATTTTGGTGATTTAGTATATAGTTATTTTGTATGCTATAGCACTTTTTTCTAGCTGTCAAACATTTTCTGTGGATGAAAATGTGAAAAAACAACGATTTCCAGCCCCCTTTAAATAGCATTTTTTGGTTATCTATTCTACATTCCCTATTTTATTTGTCTAATATTACAATTCAACAAATGTAAACGAAAATGCAATGAATATAAAGTGATTTGGTTATTATCAAAGTAAACTATGAATAAAATAGACTATATTATCTACTGATCTATAATATACATGCAACACCTAAATGTATCATTCAAACAAATAAGCAAGATGAAAGCCTCTAAGTAATGCCGGTAAAGCCTATTAAAGCTAGATGCTACATTGATTTAAATGATACTATTATGGAATTTCACCAGTGGTGCTAATTTAATGTACTGTATGTGAATGAAGAATTTGCAATCATGCTAATTACATCTTTTTGTGATCTTCCTTATAACTAGATAAATATATAACTCATGCCAAGAAAATTATACCCAAGATTCCATAGCCAGTGGCATTTAGTTCCTTCAATAATCCTAGCTCTGAGGAACAGAGGACGTTGACAAAACAATTTATTCTGAGGAATCAGAAACCCTTGTAACCCTTTCACTTGCAGTAGTTAAAAAAGTATTTAATGAAGCATAGTTTAGCAAAGCATTTGTACATGACTGGAGCTGTGTTTATAATAAAGTAACTGGTGGGTCACTACCAAGGGCAGCAGGGTATGGATGGGAACACCAAGCCTCAGATTTACAAACTGTTTTAATTAATTTTTGTTATCCCTCCCCTGCTCCCCTCAAGATATTTTTGACTAAATTTAACAAGGGAACTATAGAAGGAAGGTGATGCATAGGATGTTGAGAGGAGTTAAAATACTCATATTTCAAAAACATCAAACCATCTCTCCTTTTTCTTGTTTGGTGGCCTACACAGTAAAAAGGTAGCTGTGACCATAAGGTAAACAGCATACTTCCTCTAATTGCAAATACTGGCATTAGTTTTTACGAAATAATTGCATGAAACCAGAGGTGTCGTTTATATTAAAGTGTGTCAATATTAAAGCTAATTTACACCTTTGCAGAGGTATTTAAAAAAAACAAAACATATGCCAGCAATGTACACCGAATGTACATAAAACAGGCATATGCAGCTGCTCTGTATGAACAGTCAAACTTACTTTTATGTTAGCTTTTGTTTTCATATCCTTGTATAAAAATGTCTGCCTGTGTTTTGCATGCTCTTTCTCAGCTCTCCCATTTATTAGTGTTCAGGGTGGATTCAACTTTCCACTGAATGCTGATAGCAATAAAGTGCTTCAGCAATTACATAAAAATATCCACTGAAGTGATCCAGTGTACAAAGTGTTAATGTCCAAAAAAAGTGCTCCACAATCCAAATAGGAGTGTATTCAGTGACTTCCATGTCCAATTCAGCAAGTTTCCACCTTACTCACCAGAACTGTTGGGCCATCTAGTAAAAATGTTCAGATAGTATTCCTCAAGGGGAAGTCTATTGATGAAACATGATGGGGGCATGCCCATGCTGATGTCCTCATATTACTAGGAAGGGGAGGGAACCTGCCTAAAAGAGAGTCAAGCAAAGGCTTTGGGAGGTTCAAGCCTTTGCTTGACTCTCCTCAACATGGCCCATGACCCTTCTCCCCGCTTGATAAGGAATATACTAAGTCTCTGAATCCACTTGTGAGACTTGTCTTATTGATGTGCTCCTCCCATCGAGCTATATAGTGCAGAGTCATGTGTTTCCTCATGCATGTGGTACCTAAATGGCTGGAACGTTTACCATAGCTGATACACTGCAAAGCAGATGCTACAGCCCACAATGCTCTGTAGCCACAGCCAAAATATTAAAAAAGGTCCACACTGCAAGAATTGCAGCGGTTAAGATGACACTATTACCAAAACTCTTATACCCATCTCTGGTCCTACCCGTCCCTACACCCCCACACCAGCTCAGAGCCTTCAAGAGACAAATCTCCATATGCATCTGGTCACATAAAAAACCTAGAATCCCAGAGACTTCTATGTACCAAACTAGACGCTCAGGCGGACTAGGGGTACCGCACCTCCAAAGTACTATCACGCGGCCCAATTGGCAACTATAGACAAATACCATGCAACTACCGAGGTGCCAATCTGGATTTTGATCGAAGCAATGTATTGTGACCCATGCGCAATAGATAATCTTTTATGGATGCACCCTAAGGATAGGAGCGACATCTCTAACATAATTACACACCACTCGCTTCGCATATGGGACGCCACTAAATACTCAAGTGGCTTCCTCTCATCCCACCTACCCATGCTTTCCTTCTTACATCACCCTGCCTTCCCCCCAGCATTTGACTCCCCCGCTACATTTCATTAATGGAGAGAAAAAGGCATCACCCGCTTCCACTCCCTATTCAATAATAATAGTATAATGCCTTTCCCAGTCAAGCTCGGTATTCAATCCCATCCTCCGAAATATTTCTCTATTTACAAATAAAGAGTTTTATACTCGCCAACAGTAATATAAGCAAACGGTTGTAATCTATATCTCCCTTCGAGAAACTTTGCAAACGTGACCCTCCTTCACCTGGCATTATCTCACAATTATACACGTCTTCCCTGCAAACTAACCACACACCACCCATATATGGAACGCTGTGTTTTCTGAAGACACCTGGTCCCAGATATGGACCTCCACCAACTCTTGCTCCATGTGAGCCAGAGTGCTTGAGGCAAACTATATAGTACTCCTGCGTTGGTATATAACTCCCTCCCGAGCCCAGCACTTCGTGATAGGCTGCAAGGGCAAATGCTTCCGTGGTTGCCTTGCCAGAGGCACATATATGCACATATGGTGGTCATGCCCCATTATCCAGATGTACTGGTCTAAAATATTTAGACTGATCTCCACTCTTATGGGCACTCATGTCCCCCCACTCCTCAAACAGCATTACTCAACGCTAAGCCCACAATCATTCCACATTCTAAATTCAAGCTAATGCTTCACGTCCTTTCTGCTGCCAAACATACCATAGCTTGTGCTTGGTTAACTGATAAAATCTCTTTTCAAGCCACCAAAAATAGAATCAATTGGACCTTCTCCCATGAAAAGCTCTCAGCGTGTCTCAATGACCAAATGCCTACATTTGAAAAGTTATGGGAACCTTGGGTGAAACACTTTCTACCACCAACCTTTTACACACGCCTTCTGACCCTATAATAACCTCCACCTCTTGCTTCAAGACCGACTAGGGAGTGAGCTAGACCGAGCATCACACCTGCTCCCGCTTCTCTTCCCCTCTCCACTATACCCCCCATTGTTTGTCTTTATTCTAGCTCTCTTTCTCCTTTCTTGTCTGTTCCCGACTGCGGTGGCGGTAGCCCCACCAATGTCAGCCCCCACCCTGTTCAAGTAATGATTGCTAAAAGTATGCCATGTCTACTGTTCATACAACTGGTGTATAGCAATGCCGATGTCTGTATCATTATATATGCACACACACGATGTTCGTGTCAGTGCATCGTTTAACAAGCACTTTACTGAAAAAAAAACAACTTTTTGAAACTAAAAAAAAAGATCCACACTGCAGAACTCTATGGCAGGCCCTGGGGATCACAGTGGCCTGTAACTGTGGAGCAGTGCTGCCGGATGGATTGGGATAGATGCTACTTTAGTTCTCTACAAGCTGCCACCAGAAGAAATCCTCCCTTGCCACTGGTATGCCTCTACCTCAGAACCTTCTTCCTCTCCAACTGGTGGCACTCACTGGCAATCAGCCACATCATCATTCACCCACTCCTCATTGCTGGATCCCAGTTTACAGAAAACTAACTGCTGGAATATCACTGCCACTTGCTGCTCCCGTCTGATGTCCCCTGACTGCTGTGTGGCTAAAACCTCATTTCTCTTTATGGTCATGATGCGGTTTTTCCTGATCCTCAATATATTAAATGAGCAATGCTTGCCTATGACTAAGATCATACTCCAGCAGTAAGTCAGCAATCATGTACTCAAATAATTCCGCCAACTCCTCATAGCCAGTTTGTGGCAGAAGAGCAGGAGGAGGAGGGCAATGGCACATTAGCAGAGCTTTCAGACAACTGGCTGCTCTGTGCCTGAGAGGAAGAAGTGGAGCATGACTTCTCTGAAATAGAAAAGAAAATATGCTCTGCCTTTAGATGGTGTGGCTCAACTGCTGCTTTGTCCTGCATAACCTGCGCTACTAGCTCCTCATTCAGATCCTTTACAGCAAAAGGGTAGATAAAAAGGCCTATTGGGTCTCTGAACTGTGAACAGAGGGGGTGCACAAAAATATTTAATCCACCACACTGCAATCAAGTAAATGTGTACAATATAGTACCACTGTAGCACCATATAGCAGCTAGCTCTCCCTACACAGATTAATCTCTCCCTAAACACTCACTGGGAAATGGCTGCTGGGAACCCTCTCTTTTATAGTGAGGGGGCTGGCTCTTAACCAAACTCCCATTACTCGCTATTCTAACCCTGCTGACTACATTTTAAAAGTCAGGCTGAGCATTATGGGCCCTTTAAAATTTGGTCTGAATTTCTAATTACAACAAAATTTCACTGGATCCACAAATCAACGGAATTCACTGCAAGCCCACCAGTGAATCTGAACGTCATCCCTGCTATGGCAACATGAAGTGTAAATACAGTCTTGTACATAATTACTACCATATATTTTCTGAAAGACAGATTTTGCATAGATTGCTCATTATTTATAAACACTATTTTTAACATTTATTAGCCATTTATGGCTTATTCAGCATTTTAATATTTTAATGATCACTCAACCTTTAGCCATCTGTTGCCTACCTGTACATTACAAAATATTTGAAAGTATATAAATCTAATAATAAACTTCTCTTATTTGCTGCCTTTTGATACGTTATATATAACATTGAAATAATTTTGTTATATCTGTTTTGCTCTTGTCAGAAATTCTGAACTGTCTTGTGTGTTATGATTATTGCCTATGTTATCTCAAAAAGTATATTTTAGCTCTATTAGTTCTTATCTTTGGACTACAAGTCAACTAGTGCTTATGCTTTGGAGATGAGTAGTTTAGCAAAAGAAAACTGGCAGGGCTAATACCACTGAGTCCACAGAAATACTGTGTGTTAGCAGTCCAAATAAAGTAATAAAGAGTGGAGTGCATTCTGGCAGATCAACATGTACTTTTCTGTACTTGGGGGGTCTTTAAACTGAAAAAATGGACGGATGGCACAGTCGCATTGGTGGGTTGCCGTCCCCAGACAGCTTTTTTTTCTGCTCTCGCGCTCCCCCTAGCGCGCACGGGCAGAAAAACCAGCCCGTTCTTTACAGCCGTTACCAGCTGTTTCACATACATACGATCGGCGGCTCTATAGCTGCTGATTGTATGTATGGGCTGCCTGGCTGCACGCCCCCGCACAAATTCCGCTGCTGCCGCCCGCCCCTCCTGACTCCTCACCTTCAATCCCGGGATCCCCATCTGCTGCCCCATCTGCGGCCTGGGACCGGCTCGGGAGGGCATCAGGAGGTAAGATGGGAGGGAGGTCAGCATCCTCTTCCTTGCTGACCTCCCTCTGTGCTGTGAATGCGGAAGTAATGTGTATTACATCACTTCTGCATTCACCTGTCAGTCATCTGGCTGCTATAGACATAGAGAAGCTGCTGAAGCATATCTGTGCTTCATCAGCTTCTTTTGGGGTCCCCAGGTGACATTAGGGGTCTTAGAGACCCTTAATGTCTCCATAAAGAGGACCTGTCAGTGTGCCTTTGCTATTATATAGGGGGATTGTTATCCCCCTATATAATAACAATAAGTGTAAAACAAAATAAAAAAAGGAAAAAAAATAAAAGTCACATATAAGAAAAGTAGAGAAAAAACCCCAAACATTTTTAAGTCCCCCACCACCACGTTTAGGCACATATAAACGTAAATACGCGTTCGATGCGCCAGCGCGGGAAATCGACAATTGCGCTGCACATGTTACATATCGTCGCAAACGTCGGAGGGAGAGCAATAATTTTAGGGCCGTCTGACCAGGTGGTAGAAACCAGTGTTCTATATGGAACTGTGGCCTGAAAACCAAAAATTGCAAGAATGTATTATTACAGAAGAGACATGCTATGCATCTATTGCAATAATGGCTCCTTACCTTCGCCCTCATCCTGCAATAGGCAATTTAGAATTAAATGACCATAGACCACAAAGTCGGGGAAAAGTTGTTGTTCCACTTTAACCTCCCTGGCAGTATGATTATGGAGGATTTTAGCATGCCAAAGTGGTACATTGTTTTTCGTGGCAATTTGTTGTTTTATATTGAAGGCCTGTAATTCTTAGTAAATCTTAGGAATAACTCACCTAAATCTGTCCAAACAAGAGTCCAGTAGACATCCCGGGTATGATAAAGTTTGAAACACAAAATCATAAATTATAATATAATAAATAATTATACATAATTATAATATAATAATTTAAAAAATGGTCCAGTAAATGGGAATTCTGAGGGGCGCTGCCTGATCCGTACCACAGTCAATAGAGTACAATAAAAGTGCAGGCAGGGCACTGGACAAAGCTCTAGGGACAAAATTGAAATGAAATAGTTTGATAAATACATGTAATTATAGCAGATTACATTATATTGTGTGTATTCTGTGTAAATGTCATGTTTGCACTTTTGAATTTCCGCCGGCTCCGCCCCCCGCTGTGATGCCCGAAAACGAAACTGAATGCTGAATGCCGGCATCGGCCGGGCGCACACAGCAGAGGACACTGCGGGCTCGTAGGGACAAGGTAAGTGACACTTTTGCACAATCCCGAGTGTGGCTCGGAGTTACCGCTCTTGGTACTGAAAATTAACCCCGAGCTACACTCGGGAATACTGCCAGGGAGGTTAAACAAGACTTTTCATCCGTTAATTTCTTTATTACTGGTAGTTATATAGTGCCAACAATTTTACGTAGTGATTTACATAGTTGCACATTCACATCAGTCCCTGCCCTCAAGGAGCTTACAGTCTAAGCTCCCTATCTCACATGCATATATAAGAGGACCAACTTAGAAAGGAGCGGGTTAATCTACCAGCATGTATTTGGAGTGTGGTAGATAGTGACATGGCTGGGAATTGAACCAGGAATCCCCAGTGCTGCAAGGCAGAAGCTCTAACCACTATGCCACTGTACTACTCAGTAAAGATCAATCAAGTAGCAATCAAGAAACTAGACATGTGCGATTCGTTTCGTTCCGAATCGAAATTCAGACGAATTTTCGGAAATTCGGACATTCGGATGTATCCGAATTCCGAATTACAGACATAACGAATGCAAACGAATCCGAATTTCCATTTCCGAAATTCGGTAGCGGTAGTTCGAACGTTCGTTTCGTTTTCTGTTCTTATTCGTTTCTTATTCGTTTCTTATTCGTTTTGACTGTATAAACAAGATCTATTTTCATAGTAGAGCCTCCACTTTCCTTTTACAAATGTTTTGTAAAGTGTAAAAATATGACTGTCAAGTCCATATGGCACTTACTGCTCCTAATAATCTGCACCAGTAACAGAACTAATCAGATGTGCCCCCTTTCCTATTCTGCAATACAAGTCTATGCTGAAGGAAGTGGCTATTACGCAGCTATGTCTATATCGAGCACTACAGTGTGAGGGAAGAAAGCAGAATAACGAACAGGAATAGGTATTTTAGGGCATTTCCTAGCAAAAATTGGTCACATAGGTAACCAGATAACATGGGGTGGGAGGGTTGCGGGATTATAACCGTAGCTTAATAAACACTTGGAGTTTATCTGGCCACAGAAGGCTGCTTTACAGAAGGTTAAAATAAAGCCTGTTAATGCAATACATTTTCATTGGAGTGATGATGTACACAAGTGAATGGGACTGACATCATGCTCTGTAAGTAAGCCCACTCAATGGGTGAATGTTCCACTTCTAAATGTAACATCAGTGTGTATAATGGTTACACCACATATGACACATCACATCGCATGACAACACATTATATCACAAACTGGCACAATTTCCTAATATGGTCCAAAACTGTACTTACACGGTATACCATAATTTTTTTTTAATTTAAGGCAGCTTTTCACATGCTTCAAAAAGTGTGTTGCTTGCTCTGATCCATCTTTTTGTTCCAAGATTAAAGGTTTAACTTAGTGGACATATGTAGTTTTCTACTCTAAACAACAATATATAAAGCATGTCTAGTTATGAAAAAAATAGTCTTTTTTACAGAGGAGTTTGTGCAGTTATTATCTTACAGAATGTAACAGGAACTCAGAAAATTCAACAGCAAATAGCCAGTAAGACAAAATTTAACTTAAATTTTAAATTTATCTACATGCAGAGTTTTAAAGGCTACATTATCTGATGTGAAGGTTTAGAGTTGAACTAAATAAAGAACTGTGAGTACAGCCTTGGAATCCAGTCATTTTTCTTTTTTACTTCCACTTAAAGTGCCATTTAGTGTGTAACTGTGATTTACACAGAAATGTCTAATATTTATTGGATCCTCTTCTCAATTTCCCAGCACTACTGACTTCCATAAATGGCTTATCTATAAAAGGAAAGTACTTAAGTCTTTTTTAGTAAAATGTGTCTTTCCCTTGACAACCAAGCCTTTAAATAATAGTTTTGTAAAGAGACCCAGAAACAAGCAGCTTACATTTCTTTACAAATAAATAAATACACTTTACTGCAGTAAATATATTTATAAAGAAAACATTTATAATGGATTTGAACATGTTCTTTAACATAGGAGAGAATTTTTCCTTATTATTATTATTAGAGTATTACCTATATATCTCAAGGCTTTAAGGTGCTGGACAGATTGCATTTCCAAACAGAGTTTTTGACATGAAAAGCAGTAATTTTCACTTATTTACCAAGCTA